CGTTGACGACTGTCGGCCGTCGTACCTTCAGCAGGTGGAGGTTCAGTCTGCGACTCGCTGCGCTGACCGCCGTCACTTTACCACTTCCTGCAGGACCGTGAAGGAGGACAGTGCAACCAGACAGAGAACTGCTGCAACCACACACACACACACATGTCCCATCATGCCGCTCTCTGTGCCTCATCAGTCAGATTCTACTGCATGCAAAGTATTCTCATGTGAGTTACCTGTGCTGCAGGTGAGGCAGGATGATGCTGCTGAGGAAGTCGACGGTCTTCTCGAGGCCCGGAGGAGACAGACTGTTCCACAGAGACCCTCGCTCCACCCAGCAGCAGGGGACGGGGCTGTTAGTGGACGCTCCCTGAGGAGACGCACAAAACAAACGTCCTCAGAGTCAGAGGCCGACTGACGCACCGATACTGAAGCTGCATGACTCATCAAAATAAGACCAATATCTCAAGTGACAAATCTTCTGCAGACAAAACAAACGCTCCTGATTTCTCCCTGATCTGCATCAGCAGTCGTCGTGCTGGAGAAGAGCAAACATCTGATCTCCTCCAGCTCTGACAGAATTTACTGACGGAGACACATTCAAAGACAAAAGTAAAAACTAGCAGAGGAGACTCAAAAAAGAAGAGTGTCCACTAAGCTGTGTGTAGGGTGAGGGCAGCCTAACCCCTCATAACAACCAGAGGTCAAAGGTCACCATGTAGAGGGAGGTGTGAAGTCTGTCGGCCAGGTAAGCTCCTCCTACTTCTTCTCTCTCGGCAGATGGACACACCTTCTGCACTTTGAAGAACAGCACTGGAGCCCTGTCAGAGGTCAGAGGTCACAGATGCATCTCTGAGAAACAACACATGAACAACTGTGACGTTTCCTGAATGTGTGCGCCAGAAATAAATAAATGAATCTCCCTGTTATCACTGAATAACTTCTTAGTTACAGTATTTAACTGGTTAACTTCCCTAAATATAAATATATATGTAGATAAAGGAAACGTGCCTGAGGAACCTCTCCTCAGTTCTCCTCAAGTAAATTCTTCTAGTTTAAGAGACGTTCTTTCATTCGCTGTTTTGTTGCTACAGCCTCTGGACATCTCTCTGAACCTGAGTAACACATCACCTCCAAGTCTCTGAGGTGTTGAACCACCTGAGAACCCTCAATTACCCTAAAAGATCCCTAGAACCCTCCTGCAGGACTGTTTGACCTCCATCAGGACGACTACACCCTGAGGAAGAACCTCCTGTTTGGTCACTCCTCATAACTTCCCCCTGAACTTTCTAACAAACCAAATGTGGAACCCTCTGAATGACCAACGCAACCTCTTAAAAAACCTCTGTAACATACTTAACAACCACTAAATTCATAGAACCTCCTCTAGAACCTTCACATCGACCACTAAAACATCCTGCATGAACCTGAGAAGCTCCTCAATAACCACGTAGAACCTCCTAGAGGACCTTAGAACGCTCTGCGGATTCTGATGTGTGGTACCTGTGGATGCCGTCACAGTTGTTCTCCAGCAGGTCTGGATGATTTTCAGTGGGAACTGATAAGACGTCTCCGAGTGAAACCAGTCTGCAGAGAGAGAGAGAACACTGGTCCTGCTCAGATCTCGGTTCCTCTGAGTCATAAACAACATTTGGAAGAAGTTTTTCATAGAATCAGTCAAACGTGAACAAGTAAGTGAGAAGGTGTCGCTTCAATTTAAGTTTGTCATTAAACCACAGATTGTAAACAAAGATGGACGACATGACAGCTCCCACAAGTGAAGCCATATCAGCTGGATCACCCCCATGTGTCCTCCATGTTAGCAGATGGGACATGGACCAAACAAAAAAATAAATAAATAAAAGTAGACGTTAAATAAATGTTTGTCAAAATGGTTTCTGTCATTTCAGCTCGTTCTTATCTCACAGATGTTTGTTCAAGTGTTTCTGATCAGTTTGGATTTAATTAGTTATTGATGATATAAAAACATGCGGAGACGTCCTGACTGACAGCTGGCGCTGACTCGAGCACAGACCAGGATGACTTGATTCCACCTGTGACTCAGACGTTTGTGTCACTGGTGCCAGCTGACCTGGGAGCACTGAAGTGGTCAGACAGCAGAGTGTCGTAGCTGCAGAGGTTGTCGTACAGCACAGACACCACCGGCTGGATGTGAAGCTCAGTGGCGAACGCAGGCGAAGCTGAGCGACACGAACTGTCAGAGCCACCGCCGACCTCCGGGGGAGACGGTCTCCACCTCTAAGACAAAATGACAAGAGGCCACAGTGAGAGGAGAGAGAGGGTCAGCAAGGAAAAGATCAAGAATCAGAGCAGCCACGGGACCAAGAATAATCCAGTCGTGTTTCATATCATACAAACATTTATTTAACAACGACTTTGATTTTTTTTATTTTGGTTCATGTCACATCTGTTAACATGGAGGAGGACGGATTAAAGACCTATACTGCAGCCACCCAGCCACCAGGGGGCGATCAAGATGATTTGGCTTCACTTTTGTCGTCCATCTTTATTTACAGTTTATAATTTACAACCAAAATCGATAATACAATAAGTTACAGTTAGTCTTAAAGGATCGATGATTGATGATTGATTGATTGATTGATGATTGATTGATGATTTATTGATTGATTGATGATTGATTGATTGATGATTGATGATTGACTGCTCACCTTCATCCTCAGCGTGAGGCTGTTCACAGGAATCACTTCCCCTTCGGTCAAGTTGAACCACAGACTCGCTGATATGAAACCAACGTCATCGAGGTTCTGCAGATCTGGACTCTCAGTCAAATCCACCACCACCACAGATCCCAGCCGCTCTCTGCTGATTCCTCCCCTGACGTCCATCTGACCCGTCTGAGGTCGCGAGGGTCCTCCCGCCTTCGACAGCTTCACCCACTCGTGGTTAAACAGCCCGAGTCTGAGCAGCAGCTGTTTGCTCACAAACACGCAGTTGTCCACATCCACCACCGCCCCCTGCTGTCCTCTGACGCCCGTCCATCGCAAAACGTCCACCACCAGGACGTCCACCCTGCACTCCAGCGCCCGGAGGATGTCCGCGAACTCCGAGTCCAGCAGCTTCCTGCTGTCGAGAAGAGAGCGCCCCCCTCCGAGGCTGTCGGCGTAATGAGCAAAATCTGAAAAGCTCAAACTGAGCGGTCCGCAGGGTGGGGGGGCCCCCGGGGGATCCGCTGAGTCCCAGCAGTCGGTCAGAACCAGAGACGTGTCGGCTGTGATCCGGCCCTGTGACACAGGACTGCACGCCAACACCAACAGTTCCGAGAGCTGCTGCTGCCCCTGACAATTTCAAATTAGATTAAGGTTCATTAAAAATACAAAATCTCTAGTTTCTCTCAGATTTATGTCATTTCTCATTCACTCATAATCTAAATACAGTCATTAGATTCAAGATGTTGATTTTTAGGGTTATTTTTCTAAGTTAATATCAATTTGTCCACATTATCAAAAGTTATAGCAGAGTAGTAACAAGTACATGTACTGTTCTGTACACTACAAAGTGAAGTTACTGGAGTATCTTCAGGTACTTTATACTTGTGTTTAACACATATCAGAGGTAAAAGTACTTTTTAACTTCACTACAGTAACTTTAGTTACTACTTAACAGA